CAGAGGAATCACGAGTTCTTGAAAACGGCCAAGGAGCTTTCGAGCACGGATGCATAATGTGCCTGAGATTCGGCGAGCCGTGAAATGCTAAGAAGTAATTATCCTGTTACCAGCAGCTGTTACATCCTCCTCCTTCGAGACGAAGAAATTTGTTTCCGCCTCGACCCTTGCCCTTCATTTTTCCTTTTTCCTTTTTCCTTTTTCCTTTTTCCACAGATTTCTCCCTTATTTCCTTCGCCAACGACAAATTATTCTTCTTCGAAAACAATTATCACGTGTATCAAAAAGCCGTAGATTTTTTTTCTCGGTCAATTCAACGAAACCAAAATTATTCCAATTTACTGCAAGCAACTTGAACTTTATTAAACGTCGTTCCCATGGGACGATAGGTTTCGCATGAAAATTCATTACTATAACAAGCAGTTGGTGCCGTTTTACTTTAGCTAGATTTCGACGTTCAAACCATGAGTGGCATTACGAGATTACACTTTCTTGATCATCAAAGATATTATCTTTTCATGGCGAAACTGAAAGTTCAACAAGTTGATAAAGTTGAACGGTAAAAAGAAAAAGATAATGATAATTTTCAATAAGAGAGTGAACACGTTAAGCTCCGATTTGAAAGGGGATGCAGCAGGGCAGTCCGTTTTCTCAAGGACCGATTAGCGGACGGATGACAAGTTTACCGTAGGGATCGGATGGGAAGAACTTGTCCCCATCCCGTCAACCCTTAAAGGCAAGCATTCGAGCAAACTCCAAGAGTAGGGCGAACAAGATGATGAGAGGTGGCGGTTGCCGGAGCGTAAAATATGAAGAAGTAATCACCCTGGTAGCAGCTGGCAGGACTTACTTCGAAACGAAGCGAAGGTTAGAAACGACGTTTCCAGGAGATCTCCCTCCCTGTGACGTGGAACACCGGAAGGGAGGGGTTGTCGCGGTGGTTGCGAGAAGGGGTGGCTGAAAATCGTCGTCTACGGGTCGTGGAAGTGGAGGACAGTAAATTCAGTGAAGCATAGATTGCAGCCGAGGGTTTCAGCTCGGGGTCGAGCTTAATTTCGCGGCCACCTGGAAATCCTTTGGTACCATGCCAACTCATTGCCGGATTCATTCATAACGAAAGAGACGTACAGCTCTCAAAGGTATCGTGCACCCTGCTTCTCCCTTCACCACTTCGACCACCCTCTACCTCTCTCTCTCTCTCTCTATGGCGTCTTTGTCTCTCCGGTAATTATAAATGGACGATTTCGGTTTGGCTAGACGATTAAGTAGTCGAGACGTTCCTACGGTTTCTCTATTGGCTTAAGTTTCTTCCTAGGAACTGAACACATTTAACGATGTCCTCCTTTTCTTTTAATTCGATACAGAGAAGCTTTGCATCGAAAAATGTTCGGAAAATGTTAAAAATATCATCCCAGTCACGAATAAATTAGCATCTTCGCGGTTGGTGAACATTAAATCCTTGCACAGCACAAGAACAGAAGAACAGAAGAACAGAAGAACAGAAGAACAGTTCCAAAGCAGAGAATTCTCGACGTCGGAATCCTGACAGAAAACCCCAGGTTCCCGGACTGCCTCGACAACGTAATTAAGACGCGTCGCGTCCTTTCTAACGAGAGATGTCTCGGTAAAGCGATACCCACCCCTGCGGACGAGTATTCCGCTTGGCAGGTCAGCTTGGAAGCGGAAGTTACCCCTTCTGAGCTCCAATTACCACCACACCGACAGCACCGACTGGCTTTCCTCAAACAGACGCGATCCTGTCATCTTCGCGACACTCGTTTCTCTATTTTTCCGACAACTGACGATCGGCCGAATAGGTGAAAAGGGGTATCAGACTCGTAGTTTTCGACCAGTGACTTTGTTCTGTCAGAGATGGGAACAACGCCATAAAGAATTTCGACATCGAAGCAGTGGAAAGAGGTTTGAAGCGTTATCTCCTTCTCCGGAGTCTTTAAAGAAAATTGCAATTCCTCGTAAGTGACATTCCTTTTTCCCTTTTTCCCTTTTTCCCTTTTTCCCTTTTTCCTGCTCATCCTGGTCGACGTTTCTTTCTCTTTTTCCTTTTTCGACTTTTAGATGATTAAAATTGAACTCCTCTACAACGGTATGCCTTAAAAAAGCTTGCAAAGTAACTGTTTAACACCCTACCGCTCTATCGTTATTGTGTATAGCAGCTATTTCAAGGCAGAATCTCGAATCTTGGTACAATTCCAAGAAATCAGTCGTTTCGATGCTATTGTAATTTCAGCGACGATCATCATTGTCGCTCATTATTCGAAGCTTTATCACTGACTGCGCTATTCAAGGGATTCGCTTGGACATGGATTCCGTAAATTGAAACCTTGTTTCAACATTTTCCAACACTTTGTCAACAATCTTCACGAGCAACAGACCCTGAACGAGTCGCGAAGCTTTTCTGGATGAGCTGCCATGCAGTGATTTTAGTAGTTAGGTAATTAAAGATTCCTATTGACTTTTAATAATAGATTTTTCACTCAAAATCCAATTCATCGTGTAATTATTATTTTATATCTTATCTGAATGATGAAAAATAATGAAATATATTAAACGGGAACAAGATCAATGTTGTTTTTGTAATTCCATTATTGATTTGTGCACGAGCGCAACAAGTTTAATTAATAACGGGTAATTGATAAATTCCAGATGAACGCTTTTCCATTTTGAAAATATTACAGTCAGCACAATCAGAAGTACGTATTTATAAAATTACAATATGAACGATTCCAAAAAGGATAATGTCACATTAATTAGTTTTCATTTACTAGTGTGAAACGTTTTTATCTTTGTTTTTAGCTTTCGCCGAAATGCGCACTATAATATCGTTAAAACGATGATGAGAGGTTGAAGAAACTGAATCTCGTTTAACTAAAACGCATTATGAAAATGAAACCTGACAGAAATTACTTCCAGCTTTGAATTATTACATAAAATATATCTTCTAATGAATTTTTTTCTTACTCACGACGATGTACCTATGTAGTTTTATACGTCTTCGTTATCGTCCATGAAATTTGCGAATAACTCGAGTATCGTCGCTTTAACAAGGAACTTTGACTGAACTTTTTTCAATTTTATAGGAAAATCCAAATTTTTCATTGTAAATATATGTATCTCGAAATATTTGCAGGAAATTTGATAACACAGCATAACTCACGACCGCATATATTAGCGCAAACAAACCATAAACGTAGGACGCGTGAAGCCGTGCTCTAAACTTGTATTTGTTGCAAGCCTGGAAAGCAAACTTACATACACGTATACGAAGTCGCGCGCGCATAGAAGCAGAAGGATACGACGAGAAGGGACTTGAAAGTTGCCGAGATTTTCAACTCGATTTGCTGCTTTCCTTTGCCGCGCGTGCACACCGGTTTTACTAGAGGCGAAGCCTGTTAACGCACGCTGTTTCGTTTGCTTAGGTTCGCAAAGGTGCATTGAATTTTGAGCGTTCATATTAGCGACGCTGCTTGATGTTTAACTTTCCTGCACATGTTTACACGCCTTCGTGGGACTTCCAGCTGAATAATTCCTTCTTGTTTACTAAATAAATTACATCTATTTTTAAATCATTGAAAAATTTCTTCAAAATTATCCCGTTCCTTTGCCCGGTCCTTCTCATCGACCAATGTCACTTCGTAAAAAGGGTGGAAATGATACGAGGGCAGATAAAATACCGCAGTGGTTGAACGAGCCAGCATATTGGAAACCATCCAATAACCCACTTGGCTTGCTGTATCGTTACCGCGATGGTGAACGGAGTGGGAGTATAACGAACATAAAAAGAAAGAGAGAACGATACAGAGGGCTAAAGCAAGTGCGAAGATACGCGATATCAAAAGGGATGAAATAAACAAAGAGAGAAAGAGAAAGAGAGAGAAATGTGTCAGAGAGGTGCGAAATGGGAGATTAGAAAGGGAGAAGCCCAATAGGGTATGGAAAAAAGAAAAGACGGGAATAGGAGCGATGAAATTCGTTGGCCTGGATCTCGAAAGGAATTTATCAAATAATTTACTGACTTTCGAGGTACTCGCGGAGTCTCGATGGAACGATATACATATGTACGTATAACGCAGGGAATTAATTGTGCATCGAACGGTACCGATATTCAAATTGTACATGCGCGTGTAATTACGTTACACGTTATTGAAATTTCGTTACGCATCGAGCGTGTACGAGGGAGGGTGAGAAAGTGTGTGAGAGTGAGAGGAGGCATTTTAAAATTGATGTAATCGAATAAAATGCACGAGAAACGTCCGCGTGACTTGAATCTCAACACGAATGTGCCATCTGTTCGCGGCAAGTGACGCTGCGTTGTATTAAAAAAATATATTGCCGGATGCTAGGGAGACGGAATTTCAGCAAGCCGGAAAATAAAAATCACCTTTTCGGCTTGTCGATGAAATTTCCTTCAACCTTTGTCGAACGGTTGGAACGGAGTCACGAAATCTTCGAAACGTCGCAACGCGTCGCGTGTTGAACCAACGCGAGAACACGGAGCAGGAAAGTGGAAACTCAAATTTCAAGTTACAAGTTTGAAACTTGGAGAAGAAGTTGGGAAATTTTTAGAATTCGGAACCTTTCAGTCGTGCCTGTGTAAAAGAGAACGATTGAAACGATAACGGATCAATACCGTATTGATGAGCTAGTAGAATTTCTCATTGGTCGTATCAAACATCAAGTATTTTTCTCTTTCTTTTCATGCTTAAAGATTATTATTCAAAAACTTGAGCAATATTTTGCTAAATCATAATATGTTATATATAATTTTACGATAATGGTAAAACTGTGCCATCTTGGAAATTCTGGATAATGATTGGAACAACGCCTCCGTTGCGCTGTTTAAAGATGTTAAAGTTGAATCGCGAACAGAGGTGAGCATCCTCTGCTTCCTATTTCACAGCAGTTTTATCTAACGTTCGCGACCATGCGTTTTATTTTAATGAATTGTTCTCGTTTGTTTAAAAAATTTCATCATCACTCACCCTCTAGCGTTCCAGTGTAAGCGTGCAACGGATCGAACCCGATCTCTCGACCATTCGAACCTTCAAAAACGACGTCCTCGTGGAATAAACTGGTATCTCTTGTGAGTCTCATCTTGAACACCCTGTAACAGAAAGCAGAAAATTCGTTAATAATAGATAACTTATAAAATGAAAAATATTATATTTAATGTCGCATCGGTCAATAATGACAACAGTTTGTTATCTTACCAGCAATTGAGAGAGAGAGAGAGAGAGAGAAATTTTGCAAACTCTACAACCAAGAGAGCACACTTAACGTAATAACGGGTCTTTTATCCATTCCAGCGAGCATTGAACACGGTTCACGTGCAGCCATGTCCCCGATAGGATCGATAATCCGATCGTAGACAGAGAAGGATGGGATGCGATGTTTTCACCTAATTATCGTCTAAGCCAGCGACAGGGATGATATCGATCGAAACTGGCTCTCCTTTCACGGTTTGCTCGTGTCAGCCTGTTTTCGATCATTCATCGAGGAGAAAGCAGGTGTGCGCGTTTATACCCGTGGATGTCACCCTGATAATGTAACTAATGAGACATTGAAAGCAACGCGTGCAGGATTAATCCGCGCTGATGAAGTGGTTACCGGCTGTCGAACGGTTCGCTCGAGGCACGGCTTTATCTCCTAGTGAAGCCGGGGTAAGATCGATGAAACCTGCTAGGTAATATCGTCATCATCCACGAATCGATAATTTTTCATATCACTTTTACGTTAGTCATCTTGCACCAACAAGTCGAAAATTAGTCATTCAACCCTTTCGTGATGGAATGAAATGAACTCAAAATGTTTAACTTATGTTAAACAGAGGACCGATAAAAATTTTCAAACCTGTTATATGTATAATACTTGGCTTTTCTGTATTCGATTTCAGTTATATCGTGTTTATTTAAGAATACGTTCCTAGTACCACGTTAACAACAATACTGCGATGATCATAAGCAAAGGTTAAAGCAAGAATATTAGTAATATTATCATGCGCTACCGGGGGCGTTAATTAAATTACTCTGGTGCGTTAATTACCTCATCGCTGTACCAATAATCATTTTACACGATATGACGCGTCAATTACATTTTCGTGTACAATATTGTACCTGTTTTTTGTACGAAAAAGAAGTCTGTTGGCGTTCTTAACGATACCTTTTTTAATTTCCATGCAGATGAAACACTGTATCGAGCGACTTAATTAAAAAGGAAAAAAAGGAAAGAAGAGAAATGAAACGAAACGAAACGAAACGAAACGAAAGTAAGTACCCTGTATTAAACAGGATATAATCATAATTATTTTTCAATCCATAAATTCTTATCGGCTATTCACGCTCACAAACACTGTAAATTTAATGACTTTGCAAATTTGCAATACATATAAATGTGTATTATGCGAAAGTAATCATGGAATTGGTAGATCGAAAATTTACATTCAAGGGAAGCCGTGAATTCGAATGGCTGGGGATTTAATGAATTTCCATAATGGACCATGCTGCATCGTAAGAAGCTCCAATTCGATGGTAAACCTGTTTAAAACCTGAGCAGTCCCGTTAATTTCGTTCTTCTTTTTTTCCTTTCTCCTTTCTCCTTTTCCTTTTCGAGAAATAAAACAGTTATCTCAATTGTTTAACAATCAAGTAATCTTTCCAAATAAACGATTTCCAGAAGGAGAAAAAAATTACTTATACAAATGCGAGGATAACGATTTAAGTAGTATGGTATTCAATTGACCGAATTTTTACAAACTCCTGCGCTCGTAGACTGGACAACCCGCATCGAAACTCATTAGCCAACAATTTTAGTCAAAACGAGTTAACTAGTTTGTTCGAGTGTCTTGCCTTTCGAACTAGTCTCATTAAAATAATTTCTGAAAATCACTAATCGAATATCAAAAGCAAAAGCAAAATGAAAAACAATCCTTTGATAAAAAGGATTTCTTTCAACTTGCACCATACACCGTAACATGTTTTATATCACATTCAATATGATTGCAATATTTCCAAAGGACAGAACGAAAAAGCAATGTTGCTGTTTCAGTTTGATAAAATTAGCTTAGAAATAGGATTTCAAGACAATCATCAGCGTTCATGGGAAAAGAAAAATCAGCTTAATAATATCGTCGTTCCAGCGATGTAATAATGTGAACCGCGAGAAATAAGGAAGCGGATAATAACGATGCTCTATACCTAACGGGCTTTCACGTAAACGATTCACTGCTGTGGTATGCCGCAATGTACGCTAACCTGTTCAGAAGTTACTTGACAATAACCGTATGCAGTATAAACGTTAATACGACTCTAATAGCAAACTGTTGCTTATTCAGAAAAGTCAGGATATTACGTATTGAAATGGACGGAAAACTCGAAACGAGTTTCAACTTCTCCCCAGGATAGAAAGCAGGAGGCATAGGGCATAAGGCATAGAGCATAGGATAGAAATGACCGAATCGTTCAATAATAGAGAAATTTCGAATTATAGTAATCATCCTAAATTCATATATGTACCTATATTTCTTTCTCATCGCGTTCGCTGTGCGTCGTTTATTCGATGCGACGCGATGTGATATGTCCTTTTTTTCCTCGAGTGGACGATGGTCGCTTCAAATTTACGTTTTCATTCCACTTTAGGATAAGTTGAGCAACAGGTTCTCCGTAAAAAGGCTAGTCGGAACGAGTTATTGTCGTGTTACGGTTATTACAACGACGCGTATGTTAAAAAAATAGCTGCAACTTTCGGTGCTGAAACGAACGGTATTGTTTTTCGATGAAATTTATTCGTTGCATTTATAAATAGGTAATTCGTTAAACCCAACGTCTACGACGTAGAAATAGTCATAAATAGTTAGATATCTATTGTATAAGGAAAGAATTTATCCTAAAACAATCTAACTTTAATTTACTTTTATCGGTTTTTCGAAATTAAATCTGAACTCGTGGCAACTGACAACAATGAAAAATATAAAACATCGATCTATCTTTAGCAAACCGGATATCCACGATTTTGTATTTCACGTAAAACCGCGTGTCTGTGATAAAACTTATCTACCTTTCCGCAAAATGGTAACGCGGTCGTACATATTCGTATCAAACTTTTCTCCATATTTCCTGCTTCTCTCTCTTCCTCCTTCTGCATTTCGTATATCAATTTCGCAAGTTTCCGAAAGCGTGGCAGACTCGCGAAATGCAAAGAGTCTGGGATTTATGCGTTCGATATGTCGCCTGTCGGTGTACGGTTCGTTTCGTTTCGTTTCGTTTCGTTGTTTGGGGGGGTCAACAGAGGAGGGATGCTGCCTCATGCCTTATGGCTTATGGCTTCGAGGGAACAAACTTCCCTACGTATGGCTCCCTTAAGATTCGCACGGAAATCTCTATACTTCCGACTTACATAATGCAACGACGAACTTGGCAATTTTCTGGACGAACCTCGTACAATCGTTGCGCTATGATAATACTGTAGCGAATGGGTAAAAATTTTAATAGAAAATAATTGTTAATCGTTTGAAAAGCTTGCTGAATTTCGTTTCGTGCAGGGCATCGAGAATTACCACCGAAGAAAGTGTTAATCACCGTATCCGTAGCAAAGTCGTGTACCTATAGGATGGCAAGCTAGAGAGACAAACGCGTCCGAGAGTATATTAATCAACTAGGAAACGTCGCTTTCAGGACGATAAACTGGCAACGAGGAAGGCAAGAAGTACAACTCCGTTTACTTCCTGCGTTTTCCCGCTGCTTGCAGTGGCCTGTGTACACGCGAAGGTGTCCCTTTCGTGAGCGTATATTGCCAGGAAAACGAGGATGTCGAGGGTGGAGCGAGCATTACCCTTGCAACTAATCCCATTTCTCAATGGTACACGCATCGCTCACTGCTCCTGACTAATCGTCCTTTCGAGGCGAAGGAAGGCGAACATAGGCCCACCTCTCGTAAATTGTGCAATAACGTGGTAACACGAGGTCCGACGATAATTTTCACGGCAAGATACAACCATCCGTGACCTGAAATTTCTCTAAATATTCCCTTCTTCTTCAAACGTAAGATAAGAAGGTAAAAATTCCAGAAAAACGTGTTTTCGTTTAATTTAATAACCTAATGAAGATTATAAAGGCACAATTGATTTCGAATTGATTTCCATATACTCTCGGGGGTGTCCTTCGAACGATCGGCAGGTCTAAATTTCTACAATCGGACAACGTAATTGGCTCGAGCGCAATAAGTACCGATATTAAGGCTAATTGGAAAACAGCCGTTGCGTCGCGTCGGTTTATTTGTAACAGTCCTCTCTCTCTCTCTCTTTCTTTCTCGATTATCGCTCAAGAAACTGATTAGCGGACAATTCAATGAAATCATAAGCGATATTCACGATGAAAGAAACGAGAGTTTGAAGGGAACGCTGTTGATTTTAATTACACACCCCTTTGGATGGTGGGGTGAATTCGAGAAGCGTGAATCTTTTAAGAGGTTGAATTTACCTTGAAAATAATACCAAATGTTCCATCACTGTCGTAATACCATTGTCCTAGCGATAAGGATCGCTTTTAACTACCCTTTTGCAGAACCGGTTAACCACGAAGAGGTGGTTTCCTTTTACAAGTAGCTCTTCGAGCTGGATCCTTTGTATCGTCTGTCAGTAGAAATGACTGTTAATTTTTTAATTACCAGAGTAAAAAGATAATTGTTTGACGTAGCGTCGCGCATCGATGAGTTCTAGTACTTATTTTGTACTTATATTAAAATCGCTATTTAACACGTAACAATCCTAACACTCGCGAATGATGATATGTAGTACATGTTTTATCATTTCTAGACGTGTCGGAAGAGGGTTAGAATGACGGCGGACAGAGATAGGAGGTTAACCAATCCTCGAATTTATCTTTTACTTAGCTTTATCGGTCCAGTAGAAGAATTTCAGTTGTTTTCCCCCGAGTTTGATACTCTGTCTGTCGTAAAGCTGCCCTACCCCGCCACAGCGTGCCGCATCGCACCGGATCTCGGGTCTCCATAACCGAATGAAGCAATAAAAACCAAGTTTTATCGTCTATAGTTGGAAAGGTTTCGCGAAACTTTTGGTTTCTCTTCTTTACGTGCGGCAAACGTCGCACAACTTTGATATCTTCAATGGAACGAACAGTATTCGATCAACATATCCTTCCGTTAAAACATTCAACCGTTTTATTTCTTTTTAACATTGGCGTTTACCTGTAGTGTTGGAAAGCGTGTCGATCGATCGACAAAGGAGTAAAGATTTTTTTCCAGCGAATATTGAGAAATTAAAAACCAACCCCAGTCGCAGCCATTGAAATGATAAATCATAAAAACAGCCAGATATCACAGAACAAAAAACTGAATTTCAAGGCAGAAGACGAAGCGGTAAAACCGTTGAGTAAATCACGAAAGCAAACTCCCTCGTAAAGCACCCTCGCGAAAAAGTCAGTTCACCTTCGTCGCACCCTTCTCACAAACTCTGTTGTGAGAAAAACTATCCACGGATAAAGCAGGCATTTATAAATTTCGTGAAAAAAGCAGCTATTCTTTTCCCAAGGATCTATATTTCGAGGAGAATTTAGTACTTGCAAAACGAATGCAAGTAAGCTCAGAACCGCAGGGTTGTTACGCAGGGAGAACAGTGGGCACAATTTGACCAGTTTTCGTAGCCTTTTCGAATCAAATTGCCGCGGCAAATCCAATCGGGAACGTGTTAGCAGAAAAGGGGTAGCAACCCTCTTTCGATGACACACTCGAACCAGGTGTTCGCGACTCGAATCGAGACAACCCCACGTATCGACCAACCGCTCTCTCTCTTTCTCTATGTCTCGTCTTATGGACTTGAAAACCGAGGACAGGAAAACTAGAGCAAAGAGGGAAACTGTCAGGTCGAAAAACTGGAGTTGTTGGGGGTAGAGTAGTCGAGGAAAAGAACGATGGCACGAAGTTTGATCGAGAATAAGGTTGATGGGGAATCGAAGAAACAGAGAAGGAGGAAAAAGTAGTTGCATCAAGTAGGTAGGGTAGGATAGGGTAGGAAGTAAAGTCTGTTTGGAAGTAGCGTTGATAAAATGAAGAGGTGTGAATTTCCGTGATACGGATGACGGATAGAAATAGTAGGAAAGACGAAGGTAGATTGTTGTAAGATGTAGAGCACGAAAGTGCTGTAGAATGACCGATGAAAATGTGAAAGAAACTTTAACTTCTTCCAATCCAAGAAAAATAAATTCGTTATTTAGAGCGCGGTTAATCAATTATGTTTGACTATTTTTACAAATTTTCAGAGCGACGCGATGTGTGGAAGAAAAGGGAAATTGTAAATTGTAGAACAAATGATACTGAAACAGTGTTATCTGACCTCTTGAATGTAACAGAGAGATTTAGAGGAGTCGTGTCGATGGCAATGACAACAGGCTGGTGGTGTATCGCGATGCTCAACGAGGCATATGGCCACCATGTTGTGCCAATATCACATAAGGCTGACGATCGTTGCACATGTCGGTCGAGTTGGAGGTACATACAAGAGGTTCCAACAAACATGCCCATGCCTGCTGTGGCACGAGAGTCATTTGGCAACTGTCACACATAAGAAGGGTTGCACCCTGATTGCTTTCTAATCGATTTTCTACTCTCCCTTTTCCTTCCAAACTACGTATCGTTTACTTCGTATATGTACCTATCTAGTCGTAAGAAATATCGATATGCGATGGCACATCAATAACCAAATGACAGCGTATACCATACATATGTATAACTTCTAAAATATTGATCTTTTTCAAGAAACTTTCGTGGGTATGCTTTTATTTACGTAGATCCGATATAATTATTCATAGATACGATTACGTACTTTTGTGTGAGACAGGAAATTACCATTAGAACCAAATGTCTGTCTCACTCGTATTTCGAATGCTCTTCTTAACGAGAATCGTTAATATTTTCTTGACATTTTTAGAAAAATCATTAGACTGCATTTATATTTCACGGCGATCATTTATATTTAGATATATGTATTTCGGTTCAAGTATTTACATTTGACAGCTGTGAGAAAGTAGAATTTTTCTCGACAAAGCTATTTTCACACAACAACGGGTTTTTGTACCCACCCGTTTCATCTCTCTAGCCCGTTACCAGCTTTCCATTTTCCTTCTATTGTAAATACTTCCTTGAATACATGGTTTTACGAACCTGTCGAGAGCGTGAAGACGTAGATTCAGTGTCGCGTCTCCTGGATGCCCGGAAGTCCAAGTGTCACGACGTTCCCTTAGAGCCACAGTATCGTACCAGGCGGCAGTGTAATGTTTGATGTAGGATCCTTGTGTGATTGCTGGAAGCAGAAGAAAACAATCGAAAATTATAATTAGAATGGTTTAAAAGGGAAATAATTAGGGAGGGGGCGCAACTTGAACAGGAGGAAAGTTGAATAATTTTCTCGCGGGTAAAACGATGATAAACTGTAGAATTTTCGGAGGAGCTGTAAAACGCGACGAAGCACACTCCCGGTTGAAATATCAAGGGATCTGAATGGAAATTATTTCCGAGGTAATACATTTTCTCGATTCACCGCGCCCTATCTTCCTTCGCCGTGCCGTTTCATGCACTTCAAGTCGGCATTTATCTATTTACCGCACGCAACGCTAGAACGATTTCAACCCCTCGTGCTTCCAGTCCTGAGATATTATCGTTTTGTTTTCATAATGCCGCTAGGTCGGCTAGGTGGTCCGAGACTAAAGCCGGTGACTTATTTTATCGTGGCAGGTTGATGAATCACGGCTGATTTGTCGTGAAAATTCAACGATATCCCCTCTTCCTTTACGAAACAGACAACTTGATCGATTACGAACGATCGTCGAAGCTTTCACCAACAAATTCGTTTCCAATAAAGTAGATGGCTGATTATTATTGATAACTGTTGAAACAAAAGGGACAACGTGATTCATGCGACGCGACGCGACGCGACTCATCAAAGGAAACGTTGAAAGCGGAATTAGATTAGACGTAATGGCTCATCCAGATCCTTTGTTAATTCAATATCAGCGTTAACAGCTGCCAGGCTCCGACTAGTTGTCGATAGGCGGTAATTACTAATTTTGCAGGGACCATGGGCGAATCGATATCGGGTTGCTAGACGTATGTATGTAATTTAGATAATTTGCCGTACCACATGCCAGAAGTTTGTGCTTGTTAAGTATTATGTAGTTTAGCACCGTGTACGATAATCAGAGAATCTCGAGGATCAAAGCACGACGAACGACGCGATGTAAACAATTTCATCTTTATTATTTCATAACAAAGAAGAAGAAGAAGAAGAAGAAGAAGAAGAAGAAAACATATACATATTATTGCTTCAGACTTGAGGATATCGACGTTTTTCTACTTAATCGTTTCTGGCTTGAAATGAAATTTGCCAAGCAAGCAGCTGAACAAAGGATAGAAGAATATTTCCATTAATTGTACCTTACAATTAGACGAGGTTCGCCGAGTGTTATTAAACTATTTACCAAGTAAATATTTCACTTTAATAATTGCAAGCTGTTACCTAGACGAGGAAATAAACGCGGGTTATTTTGTGAGGGAAACTCACATATGTAAGTAGAGTGACTACGAAATTGATAAAATTCAAGTCGATTCAAGTCGAGAAAAATTTGTCTTGTTGTTAGTTTGCATAGGGCGTAGACTATGTAGACGGAATCGGTTCGTTGCCATTTGTCAGGAACGTTGCGAGGCCACTTATTTGTACACGTCCGCGTGTTCGTATCCAGCGACGATAGAACGCAACTGCGCCCCGAATTTACCAGTCTGGGAATGATCGATCCTCAGAGGGGGTCAGCTTGCTTCGACGAGACATTAGTCCTCGTGCCGTGTTTCTCTCTCTCTCTCTTCCTTTTATTCCATGTTGCGACTGCTTTATTGCGCTAGCAGCTGCCCGTTGGCAAACGTCTCTGCAGAACGTTTGAACGTTCGTACGTTCGTACGTTCGTCGAAATCGAACTACATAGTAGCGAGGCTCGATATTACTCCGTCGGAAAAGTAATTTACGAGCTCGTTCGGATTTCATCGGGACGTTCTTCGAAATTGAACGATCTACGAGGCTTGATAAAGGCTTGTTTTTCTTTGTCGCGTAACGGACTAGGTATATCAGTTCGTTGCTTTACACGGGCCACCCCTTTTGTTCGTTCGTTCGTTCCACGTTGTGAAAGCATTTTTGGGGACGGAATTCGATGCTAAGACAGAGAAACCTGTAGTTTACAGTCATCCTGGAAAATTTCCCTTCTTTTTTATTAACAATTTCGAAAGCTTCAATATAGATAAATATCCTTTCCGATTCAGATAATCGGTCGAATGGAAATTTCCGGATAAATCTATCGGTGAACGAACGAACGAACGAACGATCGTGGCCAGAGCGATATCGGCGCGTGCACGGTCTACTAAAATTCGCCATATCTATTCAGCGACCGGACGAGAAGTGGTTATCGAGCCGATTTTTCCGGCCGCAACACCAAGCCAGCCGGTTGTCATAATTGCGTTCGCCGATTGACGCGGATTCCGAGGTCGACGCGGCGGCGCTTCGAACCCGTTCGATCGTCATGAATAGGATTTCGATGGGGATGGAGGTCACGCGATGCGATTCGTGAACAATAACGATTACGATTACGATTACGATTACGATTACGATTACGGTAATGGGAAATGATAGCAACGGCTTTATTTTTCCAGAACTCGATATCCGCTGCAATACGAACGGACGAACGGACGAACGGACGAACGGACGAACTAAAAGAAATTAATGGAGCCGATTTTCTAAACCGTTTCAAACGATTCTTATTATTACAAGAGAAAAGATTCAAGTGGGCAAATTTAATTGGAACACAATGTGAAACCAGCTCTTTCGAAGATTATGCTACCGTTTTCGCAATAATACTCGTGTCTAGCTTAGTTCTAGCTTTACTGGATGTCCCGGAGGAACAATACGCGAAATCCAGTGGCGGCGAATTAAATCTGGCAGAAAGAGAAACCGTAGACGAGCAAAGGGATGAGTTGGTGAGAAAACGAAGCGAGCGTTGGAAACGCGTAATGAACTTGCCGTGTGCCGGTGCCACGAACTGCCGACAGTTCAGCAACCCGACAGAATTTCCAGCAATTAGTTTCCATTTTCCTCGCTCAGAGTTCTATCGGTATTTAACGTCTTCGTCTTTTCCTTTTCCTTCAAAATGTGTGAACATCCTGAAACTTGGCCTTGCAAAATTCGCCTTGCACCTTACACGAAGATGATTACACCGCAACGAGTTAAACGCGAAACCTTCAAGATAAAAGAGTGGAAATTTTGAGCTAGGCAAGTGGTCGAGGTAGTGGTGTTCTGAAAGGTAGCAAGTTTCACTTAAAAAGTGACCAACAATCTGCAACCCCTATCAGATTGAACGTCATAAATTTATCGAAATAGCTACCTATTTCGTTGATTGTTATTTCCACCACGGTAGTTCTTAACCCCACGGTAGATTTTACTGAAGCAATTAAGCTTATTCAACCCTGAAAACCCTTCTAGCATTGCACGTGTTATATTTAATTTAGAGAAGCAGTTAATTTTCCCTGATATCTTTTACTTTACGACGTATTAAGGCGCACAACAAACTGAAACGTAATTGACACACAGCTCAGCTAAAACGCTCGATGAGATTTGTGTTGAAAACACGTTGGAAATAAAAGGAAATAAAAAAATTTCTTTTCCACTTTCACGCGTAAAACATATGAATTTGACGAATTGAAATTGTATAAGAAAATTGATTGAAACGTGTTCATGTTTGACAAACGTAAACCGTTTGCAGCAATCGCGATATCGATAAACTGATTGTTTCTATTTTATTATTTCATTTTAGCTGTAGAATTGCATTACAAGCGTTTTCCGGTAAAAACGCGACTCGAATTGCTGCGAGTAGTAGAACAATCCGTTAAAGGTCAGCCACCATCAAGTACGTCGCGTCGCGTCGCGTCGTAGGTCTAGGTATGTATGTATATTGCAGGCACTCGTTACGGTTTCCTGATAAATTTTAACAAGGTAATTAAAACGATCGTCCACCTTCGATTCCTTTTCGCAATACGTCGTTAATTAACTCGATGGAATCAACGAAATGTAAACATTAATTTGTTCTCAACATGTTTAGTACGCGATAGATAGATTCGAAATCTATACCAGTACATATATTTTTTTACTTTCCTTCCGTGTACATACATATATGTATGATAAAATTAATTAGTTAATTAATTAGTTAATTAGTTAATTATTTAATTAAATAAAATTTTATTCGATACCGATCAGAGTGAGGTTAAACTGATGTCGTTTATTTATGAAATTTAACGGTTCAAAGTAAGTTTGTCAGATAGTGTTCCGACGTACCGGGGCTGGAAGAAAATACCGTCGGATATTTCGAAGACAGTTCGTAGAGAAGTAGCATTTTACGCGACATTAAACGAAATGGCCACGATAAACGAAGTGAGGAGAGCGTAAAAGTGCTATTTATCAGGTTGGATGAAAGTGATACGAGGAGAAAACGTCGTTTTCAGCGCGGTCCGCTCCCGGTGATGCGAAACAATTAAACTTTAATCGAACTTTCTGAATTGTCAAAAGGTCCGAGTTGAAATTGCCACATCGGACGGGGCTAAATAAATTTCCCCATTCGGTATTCCAACCGCTTGTCTGCCACCCAGCGCAACGGGCTGGCTTTTCTGCCAACGACAACACGATTTCCAACGCGTTGAAGGAAGCCGTACAAGAAGCGGAAAATCGTGTAACCGAACGAGCGCCACTCATATTTACGCTTCTAATCGAAATTCAAACTTTTCATTTGCAAATCAACAGCTAATTCCTCTCCAAAGTCCATCTAACCGGTTGAAATAATTTTTTTCTCTCCTTTTCTGTGCAATTCTTTCTATGCCGAAATGTGAAAGATTAAAACTTTCTAAATCCATACATATGCATTTCGATCCTGACGGAACGCAATCGAATAATCAAATTAAAGAAAAAAACGAAAAAATAAAATTAAAAAGAAAATAGAGAGTAACGTTACACATGAAACCGGATGAATTATCAATAGCCCCGGATGCGCCAGCCCGTGACACGAGGTGTCAGTCGCAAAATGGACGATCGCGGCACGCAGATGCGAAGCGAAATATTTCGAAAAATAATGTTCCGCCGCGTCAGCAATGATATACATTAACAGTACCGTTTTTCCCGCTCCCGTTACAACGCAATCGTCCGGCCATTTCGTCCTCATTCATTCATTCCCCGTTCCCTCGTCCAACACGTACACATCGTTCCTGGCAATTTTATTC